TATCAAGCGTAACTCAACTGGCCTAACAAATGAAACATCATTGACTCGAGCAGTTTCCAAAATAGTTAAAGATATTCCAGAAGATGAATTTACAAAGAGACATTCGACAAACTGTTAGTAAGGATGAAACTTTGTATAAGTAATCATGACCACAATTTTGAACATTTAATAAAATAAGATTGAAAATGTGTTTTTGTTTAGATATTTTTCTTTTATCCTATCAGAATTTTTGGTCAATCCTATATGCCAAATTAGTCAAACAGCTTCGATCCATTTGATATCTATAGATAACTAGTTGAATAAATAGTATAATAGTGCTAATTGTAAAATAAAGAAGACATACATAAACAGCATACAACTGACAACAATGCAAATCAGTTGACAAGTTCTGTATCACAACTAGACATTAATGTAACGAGAAAGCGAATGAATCGCTTTAATAGTTTTCGATCTTCTTTGCGTATAAAAATTTTTGTTAATTGACGATATTCAATATGGACTTCTTGATGGATTTTTCTATTGATTACAGTACTATAATAAAAATATCAAAGTAAATATCGATTTTATAAGTTGAAAAATGGTACTGATTTAAGAATCTTTGCCATAACATTTTTTGGATTGGAACTGAATAAAAACTATTTCAAATTTTACTCAATGTACCGAACTTATGGAGTGATTCGAAGAGATGCTTGGATGAATAAGAAATATTAATAAGTCATATGAACTTTTGTAAATAAAACAATCGATAGGATGTAGATATCGTCCTCATAGAGCGAATAGTTAATACTTGAGAATGGTTTTCATACAGAAGTAATGAACAAAAACATATCATTCTTGTTACAGTAGCCACATTAAACAGTATTCATACATGAGATGAGTCGACTTTTAAAATCATTCCTTTTTGATTTAGTTCATAGACTACTGTTTTTAAAGTAGGCAGAAAAGTATTCATCCATCTCAAACGTTAACATTACTTGCAAGAAATTTATTCGACAGATAAAAAAAGACAATATGAAAGAGGATTTCATCTATGAACAAAATTTAACATTACATGGCTTTCTGCTTTATCAATTCGTTGTTAGTCTTTGCAATCTTTTCAGCGCTTTTAATTTTCTTGATTTCTTGATTTTTTCCGACATCACTTTGATTCTTCTTTTTTGTCACATAATTCTGAATTTCTGGATCTTTTAATGCTTTTTCAAAAAAGTGTCGAAAATAAAACACAAAGAGCTATTTGTCAAAGCTGAAAGAAATCACAACTATTTCGAAAAAAAATCAAGATCTACGAAACATGTTTATTATAAATAGTCAAAGGAACGATCAAAGCAGTTGCTGTTTGACATTTTAGCAATATAGAAAGATAAATATCACGATGCTAATTCATTACTCTTGCATTTTTTTGATAAACACATTGTTATATGCTTTCAACTCAATGGGGAAAAAGCGAATGTTTTGTGCTTCACCCATATTTCACCGTACATCAATCTACTTCAAGAGTACATCAAACCTATCCTCTAGGAATTTTTAATCATTTCAAGGCTATGATTAACCAGTGTCATGAACATATGAGTTTAATTTCATTTTACATAAGTCTGTCTAGCAATGAAGTCCAAATACTTCATCGTACTCTATTGATACTTAAGTACAGGATTAAAAACTTCACTGAATTGATGAAGCTTTAGCTGGTCGCCAAATGAATTCGATCTTAAACATAATCGTGATTTAACATTTTCACCTCGATTTTTAGTATCGACAGTACTTAAGTGGACCTCCTTTCCGAGGTTTTTTGAGAACGGCAGGGCGAACATTTTGTAAACTTTTTGGTAGATAGATCTTAATGAGTAGAATAGAAGTTGCCATAGACTCAAAATTTCCAAATGCTTTCTTCTGGGAGATCAAGAGCCAAAAATAACCTGGAGTTTTCCCCTACGCAAACATCCACACTGTGTTTTTCAGAACAGAATTTGTTTTTGTAGCAATTAGGAACAAATCTGAATGCGTGTTTTTTTTCTTTGAAATATATTGTTCTTTCCACTCACAAGAAGCAAAATATTGGAGGTACTATCAGAAAAACAGTAAAAGAAGCTTTTTTCAGATAATACTAATTCTGTGAAGTCTGTAAAACTTGATAGGTACAACTTTTTTAGGAGAAAGAAAACACGCACCCCAATTTGATCGAAGTAATTATAAAAAGTTTGAGCTCAATCTGCCATACGCTCTAGGAGAAAAGGGAAGAAAACTTCAATTTTTCGTTTGAAAATCGCAAAGAAAGCTGAGTTTTTTGGCTTTTTAGCATAAAATTCAGTTTTTTCCCATTCTTTAAATATAAAAAAGTGATTTTTTTTCCTTCCTCAAATGTATTCATTAGATGGAGGACATTTAAATCTGCATACCAAACAAAAATTAAGACACGAAAAAACTGCAAATTTCCAGTCAGGAAAGGGAAAGCCCTTAAGGTTACTACAGTATACGGATAGTAATTCGAACAAACGGACAACTAGGGAGAGAAATTGCAATAAAGCAGTAATTCTTGATTTGCCTTCAGAGTGGTGTGGATGTGGTTGCGGTTGCTGTTGAGTATTTTATATGTATGGGATGGAGGTATGAGTGGAAGTGTGGTGATGTGGTATATGTGCGGGAGGAGTGTGCACCGTACAAAGAAAGCCGTTGAATAATAAACCCAACAAAAAAGATGTATTAGCCTCATCAACGACTCATCAAACCTTCATAAACCTTTTTTTAGGGTCTATGGCGGTTTCACAAATCCTGTCAGGGTTTTCGAAAATGTAACTAATCCTTCAAGAATTTCTGTCAGAAATAATAATACCTTGAAGGGGTTAATACACGTTGCCTTTTCATAAACCTGTACATGGGTTTTATGAAAATGCAACGCACAAAAAGCCTTTGAAGGGTTTATCGAGTGTGCATAGATCCTAAAAGGATCTATGATAATTTGATGAGGTTAACAAATCCTTTTTGTAGGGTTTATTATTCTACGCTTTTTCAAAGTATGGTGCAGAGATCGAAACGAGTCAGAAAAAACGCGACTCGGCTCGACTCATTCTGGTCTCTGCTCTTTATTAGCTGCCTCCATAACTATAGTTGTTAGATCGCATAAGCCTTTTATCTTAAGAGTCACACGGTTTACTCGAGTTCTTTTACAAATCAAATCGGTAAACTTTTTCGAAGCTTCGGGCAAGTGATCGTTTGTTTCCCGTTTTATACACCAATGATAGGTTTTCTCGTGGAATACGTTGTGCCTGAAGCTATCAGACGTGGATGACAATTATGCATATGGAATAAATGAAACAGATGAGTAGGTGGTAGACGAAGATAGTATCGCACGGCCATCGAGGAAGCTAGTGATTTAATTCGAGCAAAAATATTTCATAGTCCAATATTATAATTTTCTCTCTCGACCAGGCCATATTACTGCATTCCTTCTCATTATTTTGTTGATTTATTTCCTTTTTCTCTCGTGGGATGTTACCATTCCGTTTTTATATGTTCTTTCTTCCAATTCATCTGCGAATATATAGTTCGTTCACTGTCTTTCACTCGATAGATGTGTGAACAGTCATAAGATCCCAGGTCATTATCAGGATCTCCATTGTGATCCGTTAGTTCACTGTCGTACGTCTCCTGTATTTCAACACCGTTTCCAGTCGGATATCACTGTCTATGTTCTTCAGATTCGCTTCCTATTTTTTGTGTAAATAGTCAGTTTTTTTCCAATAAATGGAGTTTGATGAACACACACACTAACATACAAGCAGCCCAAAAGTATACAGGAGGCAAAAAGCAAAGTACAAATTGGTACTCTCTTCATTTTCAAGTGTAGAGATCAATTAAAGCATTATGTCGATTTCTTGTAACTGTCAACTGAGAAAAAATTAGTTGAAGCGTCTGAGGAGTCGAGTCCTGCAAGTTTGACTGTACTCGGTATTGGTCTCTGGTATGGTGGGGATGTTCGGTGTATGATACTCAGTAGCTATGTGTTAGAGTGCGACGTGAATGTGTTGGTATGGGTTGTGGATGTCTTGGTGTGATGTGTGAGTGTTCTTGATTGAATAGGTGAAAAGAAGCACCACATAGCATGCACATCGGCATCCTCACCGACATCAACATCCATACCCGTATGCTGAGAGTGTTAATGATGGTGCAAAAGTGTACTGGGGTAGATCAACTCATGAACTACTAGTATCAAAAGTTATTAAGAATGATAATATTAATGGTGTTGATAATGTTGATGCTGACGGCATTGATGATAATGATGATATATTTTATGTTGATATAGATTGATCGTGTATAGCAATTGTATTAGCATATACATTGCTAGTTGAACCAACTGTAGACAACATATTTGATGTTTCTGTGGATTAAATGAGGGCGTGATTCTTGATCAATTAACTCGTATTTTTTCGATGAGGACGGTGGAAAAAAAGACGCGGTGGCTCATCGTTTTCACGTATAAGATTTCATAAATTTTATTGAAATATTTATAAAATATTGATTTCCCTGACTCTACCCTGGTTACGCCACTAAGTTCTACAGTCTTGTAGTTCATCGTGGTGATATTTACTTCATCATTTTAAAATTTATGTAATGTTCTTCTATCCAATATATCTGTGATATGTACCGACATATTCTCTGTCTAATATTCAAGTCTCAATGAATCTCAATAATAACAATGATGCAATACACCAAATATGAATGCAACATAGGAAAATCTTTTCAATCAATAGAAGACAAATAAGGATTGTAGTAGTTCATGATATGCTAGACTTTGAAAACAATATCCTATTGTTTAATTATCTTATTGAAAGATCCATAAAGAAAATTTTTTCGATGAATATTAAATTTGTAAAACTAGAAGAAGATAGTCACATAAAAGAATTTTATTGATCATTAGCAATAAGTATGACAAAATGTTTTTTTCCGTAAACAAGGCACAACATTGAACTACTAATGTTTTTCTTTTTTATTCTTGAATGATTTGATTACAATTTTCTATTTGCCATATACATACAGAACTAGAAAATAGAATACAAAATACAGTTGATAATAAAGTTTTTTAAAAGATCTTACTTCATCAAATAAAATAAAGCCACCTTTGTTAGTATCAATTTTATTGAATTCTTGTCTTAAATAACCTTCATCTGAATCATCTTCACCTATTAATACGAAACCTCTTTTAAATTCACTAAAACTAATACGATGATCATCATTAGTATCTAGTTCCTCGAATAATTGGCTTAATTTATTATAATGATTAAGTAGTTCAACAATCTTTTCGAATTCTCTTAATTCAACAAAACCATTCTAAAACAAAACAAATTGTTTTAAAATAATAATCTATATGATATATATTCTCCTACTCCGCTTGTATCAGCTGCTTTATATGCTCGCATAATAGCTTTTTTATTTGTACCAAGTTGTGGATAAAAATTAACAATAGCTCGATCAAGTTCTGCTAAGGACAAATGACCATTACCATTATCAAATTGTTTGAATAACTAGACAAAAACAAAAGAGAATATTTCTCAAAGAAAAATTTACAAATAATTTATACTTTTTTAATTTCTTCTTTGCTCATTTTCGACGACATAGTTACAAAATGACTGGAGAGTCTTCTTGAATAAGTTTGTAATACGAATTCTTTTTATAGACAAAGTTTGTTCAGGGTCGTAGGGTAACAGTATAACTAAAATGTTAGTCAAATAGAAACAGAACAACTTCTTTTTTCTTTCATCATCTTATAAAAGAAAAAAGTTTCTCCAAGGCAACCTGCAGTGTTTGTGAATGAATAATTCCATCTCATCACTTTCTTTTTTCTGTTTCAATAATGGTGAGTAAGCAGGACGAAAAAAAAGACTTGACCAACTTTTCTTATAACCTTAAAACAACATATTGAAATGCTTAAGAAAGCTGATAAGAAAGTGTTTTAAATAATTTAAAAAAAAAATTATATTGTTCTTTCCTTGCGTGAGCAAACATGTGGCGTGAAAATTTCGAAGGAGAAAAGCGTCATTATTTTTTTTAATACTTCTTTAGACGTACCGTGTCATTTGTAAATGAAAAATTATTTACGGGTAAAAGTGTCTAAATAGATGTCCTTGATCTATGTTTTAAAAATATTTCTATTATGAAAATATAATCAAATGTTTGTTTATCACAGAAAATATACGGTATGAAATGATCAATAAGTGTTGATTAATAAAATGAACTATGCATTAAAGCTTGTTGAAGCGCGAAATTAACTTTGACACTTATATTATCACGCAATGTCATCGCATTGAGTCCACTAGCGCACTAATTACATCCATGTCCGCTGCAACATCCAAGCACCAACTGTAGCAAAATGTGTCATTTTTGTAGTGGTGTGTTACAATGCTCCAGTAGACATTGACGCGTGTGTATCAGTGTGCACTAACTACACGGTGTCAGTGATCAGTAAACTAAAATTGCTGATTTCGAAGTGCAGAAGTCAAATTTCCATTCTACAACCTTCTTTTACCGATAAAAAAAATCGCTTTTTGTTGAAAAAAGTTGAAAGCTTTCTCAATGTTAGAAGGTACAAACACCACAGTCGGCACATTCCTGTTTCTATCAACAAATCATTTATTAATATGAATATTGTATGTACTTTATACAAATTCTTATTGCTATACAAGAAAAACTTTGATATGGAAGAAAAATCTGTAAAAGATTAGCTTCTTTTGATTAGAAATAATTTAGACACAAATTTTTGTCTATTAATAATGATAATTTATTACAAACGATCTAGATCTTTATATAAAAAGGAATTGTTCTTTTTTTGAAGCATTCTCTCATATACGTCTTAATAACTTAATTATATCCTATATTCAAGTTTAAATAACACAATTTGATACGTTCTAAATATTTTTTTCTTTGTCTAGTATACGTTTGATTAAAAGCATCTATCATCACCCGTTTAATCACTGGAATATGATGAGACGATAAAAAGAACATAGGACAAAACAAAAAAGAAATTAGAAAAAAATAAGCATGCAGATGTTTGCAAAAAACCTTGTACAAAATTTTTTTCCTAATTTTAAGATCATTTTCCTATCGCTCGAGGGCAGTATAAGTATCATTTTTTTAGGATTGACTCTTTGACAGTTATACTAGATAACGGTCATCAAGAACTGCAGATTCTCTTGTTTTTAATATATATTTATATTCCTTTCGTTTCTGTCGAAAATTTTATCATATATCAATTTTGTACTATTGAAACAAAGTCGTAAGGCCTAGCTATGTTACCTACCGTGAAAGAAATGTTCTATTAAGGACTATCTATTAATAATAATAATAACAGAGTAACACTAATCGTCGTTGGTCAAAACTCTGAAACAAATAATTGAAATATATACTTGCCAAGTGAAAAAGTTTATCAATGCGACCATATGACAAAAGAACCTCTTTTCTCTAATGTATATTGAGATGCAATTTTATGCTTTCTATCATATTCATACGCTTGAAAACCACCTATTTTTTTTCTGTTAGCTGTGAGTGATAGAAAGAGCGATACTCATCTGGCAAACTATATCAACAAAAACATCTCTAATGAGAAACTGACTGAAAGCGTATCAATCATATTAATTAACAGTTCGTTATCAATAATTTATCACAGTTAATTGAATATCTTAGCTAACATACTGGACGTTAATTTCATAGGAATCTTCGACCGACCATGAAATATAATGTTGAGAAAATAAATTTGAAAAAAAATGGTAAATATCAACATCTGTTTCGTTGAAGAAGTGAAAACTGTTCAAATTTCTGCTGCAAATTATTTTACTTCATCCGACGAAAAACAATTTTTATTTTGTATTGTTTTGAAAGGTGAATAAAAAGATATATGAAATTATACTATTCTACAGTACTCTTTATAGGCTATCAGTTGTATTATAAAACAATTCAAAAATATCATTAATAGACGATACTATTTGTAGAAGAATATGTGCAAATTTTTTGTAAAACACCTGTAAATTTTACTTAGAAAGCAGCAAAAGGTTCGACTTTTCAGTGAATATCTGAATTAAAAATAATCAAATAAACTAACAAAAGCAAGATAGTATTGATCAATTATCACATTAGCATAAATATTACATGTTGACACTCATGTATAACATGTACCACTGTGAACAACAGAGGTCTATTTAAATTAAGAATTTTTAGTGCATTTAAAATAATTCAAAAGTCTAAGGAAATAAAGTCTTACATATTTGCTTGTCCTCTTCTTTAGACCATTCTTTAACTTTAGCAATTGCATCAGGTTCTCGTAATTTTTCTTCATTGCGCATTTCTTCTTCAAGTGTTTGAATATCTTAATCAGTATTTGCAAATGTTCCACCTACTTTACAATTACGACTACTATAATGGATTGTTACAAGATATGCAAGTTCACATGAATCCAAAAATAGTTGTGGATGATGTCTTGTGAATAAAATCAACATAACTTCCTATATTTTATAATAATGAATAACGAACGAAGAAAAAATTTTTCACAAAATTGTACCATTTCTTTTAATCTAAGACGAATAACAGCAACTTTTGCATTATCACTATATCCTAATCCATAGGAAAATCTTGCAAGAATATTTTTTAAGCGTCAAATACTTCAATAAATTCTATATCTGATTTAATAACAATATAAAATTCTTCTGTTTGAAGAGGAACTTTCATTATTTGTCTATGTTCATAATTATGTGAATCAATGATTACTTCGCAAAATGCTCCCGATACAACTTCAACAGCTATATACGCATCCATTACTACATAACAAAATATTTCAAGTACACGACATTCGTATATGACATTTTTTTATGTCTATAAAAGAAATAAGCATACTTTTGAAAAAAAGAATACAACAAAAACATTGCTTTTTATATGAGACTTAATTGTATTAGATGTTCGTTTGACAACTTGATGTGATAAAATAAACAGTGAAATCTCGGCATCTTTTACTCTTTTAACTACATCTAGCTATACTAATTATATTAGATTGGTTTTAAGAACAATTAATCAAAGAATCTATAGATGGATCTGTTTTTTGTAATAAAATAAAACATACAATAAATAGTTGACGTAAACTTATGACATGGCAAATACTTGATATTTCCATGTTTTTCATTAATAATTACAGTCTGTTTTCGTTCATTGATTATTTCTTCATAAACATATATTCGTATTTTACTTTCAAATATATCAAATTTAGTAATACTATTGCCAATAATTTTCGCAATTGTTTAACTCCTTTATGATTAAAATCAAAGAAAATTATTAATGTAACTATTGAAATTTAATGCATACCAATTATCACTACTAAAGATAGCGACACGTTTCAGTGATTCACTCATATTTAAAATGAAATGATAATAGTCAAATAACTAATTATAACATAGATATGATACCTAGATTCTTATTATCAACAATCTTCTACTGGAATTATATCTATCTTGAACTACACTTTGTGTCGTTCATATTGTTTCAAATGCTTATATGCAACATGCCAAATAAGAGACATAAAAATAGCAACAGTTGTTCATGAAAGAAAGAATGAAAGCATTATTTCACTTTAATCACTCCTCTTACCTGTACAACATTGTTATATGATATATCATAGTTCAATCATTAAGCGACTAAAATGAAGAATTGTTCAACGGAAACATAAATATGTAATATATATGAAATAACATCATGTAAAATCATTATTCTCTATCTTTCATACAAAAACCAGTTAATATTATAAAATAGTTTTTGCCACTATTTGATTTAATATACGTATAATTGGCGCCATAAGAAGCGACAAAAGTCTGGTAGAAAACATCTTGCTGATGTCAATGTGTGTGTTTGCTTCTTATAGAGACTAAAAATAAGTACATACATATACTACAAAGACGGAACCCGGGTGCAATATATATAGTCGAACGAAATAAATTATGATTAAGTAGGTTAACAAAATTTTCATTTTTCGTGGAAATGGTCAGACTTTTCTCGGAGAGTTATGAAAGGTCTTCAATTCTGAAATAATTATGTTGTACTAATTCAATGATTTTAAAAGAATCGCTTATCTTCCTTTAGTTATAGAAGTAAAGATAATTATTATTTTCTTGATTTGATGAATTTCTTAAGTGTATATCACTATACTCATTGTTTGTTATGATTCAAAGTGTTTTTGAACAAGCAAAATACGTGCTGATGAAAATTTATTACAAGAAGCTGAATTGTAAAGTTTAATATAATTATTTATTCAATTTTACTGCAGTTAACTATAAGTTAAATCAATTGCTGAAAAGAAAATGAATTCTTAATCAGTTGCCACTGAATATAAAATGATTACGTAGCATTATTTTGTAACATTGATTCACAAGACAAACTGAATGAAATCGTAGATTCGTCTGTTGCATTTGATTTACTCGGTAACAACCGATGAATTCGAAGTAAACAACTTTCATGCAATAGCAAATGTGGGCATATATGCATGTTGACAATGACTACGACGGCAATAGAAAACAAAAAGTAACTTTTGTAAATCAATGTGATCTCGAATAAAAAAATCAACTATTTAAC